TCGACGCTGCGCCGGAGTTGTCACGCGCAGCGGCTTTGCACGTGTGACCGCTCCACAAAATTTGCTCCGGTGTAAAATATATCGCAACAAAATATTTCGGTGCAGCGTCGGACCAAATGTGTGCCGTGTGAACAGGGCTACAGTGTTGACAGAGGCAATTCTTGCAACAAGGAAAGCTAAGCAGCTGATTGGGTCCCCAAGCCAGTGGCCTGATACCATCTAGTGGCTCATTACAGTATGGTAGCTGTGGCTTCCATTTATCCATCCATCCATTTTTTGATCTGCTTATCCTCACAAAGGTTGTGGGGCGTGCTGGAGCGTATGGAGTTTTATTCACCTCAAATTGATCTTTTTTTTTACCAGCCTTGCACTTTTTTTGGGGGGGGGGGCGCATCAGGTTAAATCCTTCCATAAGGAATGGCTTGAACAAGTTTTAACGGCCAGATACTGTAATGTCAAAGGGTAAAGTCAGATTGTTTATATTGTAATAAATTAATAATAATAAAAATTAAAATGACAAAAGTAATATTTTCTTAAACGCTTAAATAATACAATATAAAACGCTAAATATGAAATCATTGAAACTTGCACTGAATGGTGAATATACACGGCCTGTTCTTGATCACCGCCACAATATGGCACTTCAGGCCACCCCCCCAAAAAACCTGAATGTCGGACCATGTTTAATCAGTCAACAATACCAAATAAACAGGAAGAATTGGTTGATGAACTGTAATAGTAGAAAACAATTATTTTGTGATAAACGTTGATGCTGTCCATTATGATTAAACATATTTTTAATCCCATTAATTGGTGGAATAATCACTAGAAAACAGAAATTCAGCAGTCACTGCCCTAGTGTTTTAAAGCCTGTCAATTCAAATTTAAACAATATAAATGAAATATTTTTTTTTTGTAATACTGTGTTTGGGGGCCCCTGGAACTGTAGGGGCCCCATGCAACTGCCTATGTTTGCCCAATGGTAACTACTGTATGACCCTTTGCCAAATTCAGCTAATGAGGGCAAAATATCAGTTCTTAAAATATTGTTGTTAAATTGTTTGCAGGGCTTCAGAGTCCAGTGGGAGGCAAAGAAGCCTGGGACTACGTGGAAGTTAGAGATGGGGCCCACATGTTCTGGTGGCTTTACTACGCAGACAGCCAGTTTGTAAATTATCAAGAATTTCCTCTGGTCATGTGGTTGCAGGTATGACACATTTACTTGGATTGAAAAGTTGCATTTGTGGGTTGTCAATACAGTATTACTTTTATGTTGACACTTGTGTTTCCCGAATTATAAAGCTGGCTGATCGCTCAGAATGAGGATAAACTTTATCGTCCCCTCAAGGAAACCTGCAGCTGCAATCACAATACGAATACTTTTCCACAACAGACTGTTATTATTATATAATTATTTCCATCGAACAGTCCACACATTTCTCATGCCGTGCTCATATTGTTCCTGAATTGCCTTTTAAATTTACCTGAGGTGTTAAAGGCTACAGCAGTGATTGCCAACCGGGGGCACATTATTGTGCCATGAGGGCTCTAACGGTGTGCTGCAGGAAATTATGAAATTTCACCTCGTTGGTGAAAAAATTATTTATGAATACCAAATAATTTATCTTTGTCGATCTATCTATGATGGCAACTTATAGTGACAGGAAGAACCAAAAAAAAAGATCCTCTATTAGATGGTAAAAAGAATGACTTTGACATATGTATCATGTTTTTGTGACAATTTTGTTTGGTGGTGCGCAATGCGATTTTTCAAACGTAAAAAAAAAATGGCTTGGAAATATCATTTAACACTTTTAACAATTGATGACATAACACCTAAAGCTCGTCGGGTAAAAGTTTTCTTTTTGTTGGATGCCCCAAGGTTTTGGTAAATCCCATTAGACCCTAAATGGTGGAAATGACTGTAAATTCCGGGCTACAGACCGCACCTGATTAAGAGCCGCATGCTCAGATTTATGAAGAAAAATCAATTTTGTAATTATATGCGCCGCACCATATTACAAACCGCTGGCCAATGAGTAGGCGGGGGTTTGCTTCTGCGTCCCTGCCACCTGGAGCGCCTCCGGGTGAGGCCGCGGACGTGGTCCCCCGCTGAACCCCCGCAGAAAAAAAATGCAACAATTTCTTAAGGTTAAAATAATCTCCATATTTTTATGAGCATGATAAATGCATTTGTACAATGAAATTACGCTGAAACACATAATAAGAGGCCAGACAAAGAGAGATCTTGATGCGCATTTGCGTAATTATGAGGAGAAATACTGCAGCCCACTAGGCTTTAAATAGAATAATGCAAATCATATAAATGGGAAAAGATATATGAAATTATTTCTCTAGACAGCCGCTTAAAAATGATCATCGGTGGTAGCTTTAGGCCCGATGCTGCGCAGCTCAAAACACAGGTAAAATGTGTTCTCTCGTGGCCGCTTGTTTTCAGTATGACGGAGGAGTCACCTTTTTTATTTCCAGTACGAGTGAGGGGCAAATCAAATGTGCATGGGTCTTTTTGGTTGTCTTTTTACACTGGCTCAGTTCTTCTTGCCGGAGCCTCCACCTTCGCATCATCGACTCGTCTATGCCAAGATTACGGGCAGCAGCTCGATTTCCTTCTTTAACTGCCAGAGTGATCGCTTTTAGTTTATAAGCTGCATCATATGCTTTTCGTCTGGTATTCTCCATGTTGATCAGGGTTAGAAGAAAGACTGAAATAAGAAAGTTGTGATTACCGGTAATCATACAATTTCATTGGACCCCTGTGTACTACTCATTCATTTTATTGGTCGACTGTTGCCAGGTAACACATTTTTCCCCGGTAAGGCGAGAAGAG